ACCACATGTTCTCACTTATTGGTGGGAGCTAAAAATAAATAAATAAATTCACATGCACACAGAAAAACACCGGGGGGCGGGGGGAAGAAGACTTAACAACTACAGCTCCTTGAAGTTGATACAACAAGCAAACAGAAAGGACATTGTTGGGTGGGATGGAGGAGAGGGAGGAGGGAGGGGGGTTTTGGTAACGGGCCACAATAATCAACCTCATTGTATATCGACAAAATAAAATTAATAAAAAATAAAAATAAAAAAATGAAGAGTTTCCAGAATTAGAGCACAAAAAGCTGTATCAGCAACTGATGAATACAGTCATCCTAATGAGATCTGATCCATCACATTTTCTTTCTGACAAAAGATTTTCAGAAATGGTTAATTATTTTTAGAAATTGATGTCTCTATCCCAGTAACACTCAAGGCAGTTGGCAGGCTCTTGCAATAATCATTTGTTTTCGTGGTGACAAGAATGGTGGCACCTTCTTCCATGGCTGGGAGTGGAAAGAAGTGGTCAGAATCGACCTTTAGTTTGCTCTTGACACAGTCTTCACAGGTACATTCTTCTACTGTGTACCCCAGCCCTGTTGGAAGGATCATTTCATCACCAGTCCTGCTATTGTCCAGGTCAGCATTAGCCACGTCCAGGAGTACCGATCCTGATCATGAAGAAACAGAAACATTAACCTAAACTTCCCATGGGACATGTAATAGATCTGCAACATAATCAGCACCACTTTAGACAAGCCCAAGTACAAAATGGTGCCGTCCACCTCCTCCCCTCCCCTCCCCCGTTCTCTTTCAAAAGAAGCCTCATGGTTTCGGAGCAAATGAAACTTTCGGCGTTTCCACATGCGCAGAACTCTCCATTCCCATGACCTAACCCAATCCCCACCCCAGAATTACATCACCCAGCTCTTGGTGCCAACATACCTATATAAACTCTACCACCCCCACACCTAGTGCTGTCCCCCATTTTCAGGCAGCCCTGGGCTGTCCTCCATTTTGAGTACAGCCCAGCAGATTTTCTTTCTTTAATAAAGCTTGAACTGTACCTGGCATCTCGGCTTACTTTCTTTCAGCATGGTCATGACAATCTTAGCAGTATGCAGCAGGACTCAAAGCAATGCGAGATCTTTTCATACAGAAAGAATATGTCCTACACTAGAATCTCAAACTTTCAGACCGCAGGTCACATTGGGCTTGAAGACATGATTTGGGGGGAGCATAAAATGTTTTTAAGTGTTTGCTTGTTTTATGTTGGCCTGCATTTAAAAATCAAGGGATTTTACATAAAAATCTAGACAACTGGCCTCTTTTTTAGACAACAAAATGTGGCAACATAGAGCCACCATTCCTTACATAGAAACAATCAGCTGAAGCTGAAAGCAGCTGTCACCTCCAGCCAGGGCAGGGGCTCCCCTGTTGCCAAAGCCTCCACTTGGCCCACTATGCACATTTGTTACCTACTCAGCCCTTGCAAGCATTGAGGAGTTTTTGTTTGTTTGTTTGTTTGTTTCCCTATATAAAGATGACCAGTAAGGGGATCTCAACCCTCAGCTTGGTGTTGTCAGCACCACGTTCAGCCATTGAGCCAACCGGCCATCCCTATATAGGATCCGAACCCATGGCCTTGGTGTTATCTGCACCGCACTCTCCCGAGTGAGCTATGGGCCGGCCCACAAGCACTGAGGTTTTGAACCTATCTTACACACGTGAAAATGACAGAAATATGTTACAGCACACCAAAATCAGCCTATGGGTGACACTTTAGAATTCAGAAGTAAAGTTGCTTCTCTTAACAGAGCATTTTGCAGCAGATTAAAATTTTTTGTAATGATCACATAAGGGAGTCTTTATTACAGCCCCGTTATATAACTGTGAAGGTAAGTTTTACTACTTCCCAGCATTCCACAGTGTAAATCCATCTTCCAAAATGTCGGACTTAAAGTCACTCTCAAAATGAGCCAGACACAGGAAGAAAAATACTGGATGATCTCACTCATATGTAGAATCTAAAAAAGTTGCATACGTAGAAGCAGAGAGTAGAAGTGTGGCTACCAGGGGCAGAGAGGTGGAAGTGGGGAATTGTTGGTCAATGAAAGCAATGTTGCACTTGTACAGGATGAATAAATCTAGAGATCTAATGAACAGCATGATGACTACAGTTAATGCTGTGTTGTACACCGCAAATTTGCTGAAAATAGACTTCAGGTACTCTCATCCATAAAAAAGAACTGTGAGGAGATGGATATGCTAATTTGTTTGACTGTAGTAATCATTCACCATGAATATATAGAGCAAAACATGCTGTACACCTTAAATATATACAGGTTTTATTTTATGTTAAAAAAAATTGACTCTTCATCTGTCTGACCCCAGGGGAAAAAAAAAATGAAAAATGAATAAATCATGTGAAAGTCATCTACCTCTTCTCCTGTACTAGAAAGCAAATGAGGAGGACGCTTTCCAGATTAGGCATGGGAAATAAACACGTAAAGAAATAGGGCAAGGCTGTTATGTGTTTGTGAATCAGATCATGGACAAAAGTGCTGCATAAATATTTTCATCTTAAGAGGCCCTTGAGTAGAACATTCACTTCCCTGGGACTGATTGTCTACTGCATTGTAAAGACCATTATTTTTGGCATGATTGCTCAAATAATCCAGGAGCAACTGGTTACTCATTTCTAGCATTTTTCGGTAGTAAAATGTTCAGCCAAGCAACCAATGCTTATATTTGTATTAAAAACATGGCCACGGATCTTGCCAAGTATGCTTCTCCTGATAGTAGCAGGCCTGGCTAGCAGTTTCTGATAGCATGACATTTAATCAATTGTGCTAACTGTAGTCAAAGAGACAGATGTTTCCCAAGGAAGCCTCGGTACTTCAATAGAGTAATTACCAAGGGAAGAATCTGGGAGAAAGCTGACTTTGTAGGAAACCTGCAAAGAAGATGTCAACATCAGGATGAAGATGGCTCACTTCTACCAAGAAGTTCATTTAACACAACTATCCTCTAACAGACTCAAAAGGACTGCAACTGAATGGAACAGTCAATGTTGGAAAGGAAAAGGAACTGAAACTCAAAATAGCCACCTCCTGGAAACAGATTTCAAAGACTCAGTGGGAAAAGGGGAGGGGATGGGGGGAATTAGAAAGAAACTGGGTAAGGGACACAAAGAATAATTACAGTTTGTAATGATGAACATGCTGATAATATTGATTTGATCATCACATACTGTATGCAAATACTGATAGTCAACTCTCTACCCCACAAACGTGTATAATCAAAAATAAATAAATAAAATTTTTAAGAAAAAAAAAGATTCACCATCAAACCAACCTGCATTTTTAAATTTGTCCTTTAATGGTTCAGAGCTCATCTTCCTCAGCAGGAACATTAGCACAAAAACTGCCAAAGAAACCATCAAGCTCAGGCCCAAACAGGTCCAGAGAATCGCATTTGTTCCTTTCACTGAATTGGTCATACCTTTATTAAAAGAGTGTCAGAGAGAAAATGAGCCGATAGCATAATATTTACATCAAGTATGAATTATTTGCCATTCAATTCTCCTAATTCATCAGCATTGATTTTTAAATTCTAAGTACTACTTTATTAGAAGAACTGATAAAAATCTGTGTTGCTAATAGCACTGAATAAAATCAAGTTCAATTCTAAATAATTACTTTGTTCCTGTAGACATTTAAGTCATTGCCTGATTTCCTTTCTCTTTTTCATCCAGAAAATCTCACCATCTTCACTGTAATGTTTATTCTCTGAATAAATAAGCAACCCATATAGAAAGAATCCTTCACACCAATGAATAATCGTTCAAGCAATATTACTTACTTGCATTACAGTAACGCTGACATGTTACAGGAGGGGTATTAGAACATCGGAGGTGACAAGGTTTGCAAGCATGCAACAAACTGTCAAAATATTCATCTTGGAAGCACCGCTGAGCCATCTGGAACTCGATCACAAAAAGAAACAAGAGGACCACAGACAGAATAGCACAGAAGGACAAGTAAAATCTCATCAAGAATTCCCCAGCAAATGTAGTGACAGCAGCCAGATGTCGAGGAAAAAAAGAGCTTACCAGCGTGAAGTTGGTTCTTTTGGGTGTTGTCACTTTGCACTGTGGCTACACATTTGAATACCACCTGTAATTCAAGTTTCTCTTCTTTTATTTATTTATTTTTTATTCAAGTTTCTAAGTTTGAGGCATGGGTGGGGTAAGAGATGGGGTGTAAATATCAGAGCAAACCATACCTGAAACAGAAACTGCTTATTTATAGAGGAAATTTCTCAGCCAGATGACAGTTGCCAGATGTAGACAACCCCAGGGCATTGAGTGGAAGGTTCAAGAACCATTTTTGGATCATCTGTTTATGAGCTGTGATGGGCCCCAGGGAGACAGACGAGACAAAGTCTGTGCCCCTTAAGAACTTAAAATCTAACAGGGGAGATAGAGAAATATACTCAAATAACCACAAGGAATAGAAGTAACTGACAGAATGTGAGAGAGGGAAGGAATTGGAACCTAGGAAGAATTGTAATGTCTCTGACAGAAACAGGAAAATCTGGCGGAAAAGCTAACTTGGTAAGAGGGTTGAGGGGAAGATAGGTTTGGGGTATTATTATATTACTATAATTAAAGTAATTTATGTTCCACTTTTGAAAATTTAGAAAATACAGCAGATGAGCAGATAGAAAAACCGTCCATAGTCCAAGCATCAGAAATAATCACCATTAACATTTGGTATATCTCAGAGGTTGTAAACAGTCTTGCTGACATAATCTATTTAATCAGTCCCTGATACATATCTTTCAAAAAGGACTTCTAGATAGATAGATGGATAGAGTTATATAGTATATTTTCCTTTTTACATAAATGGAATCACTTTTAACCAAACTGAGTCAGAAATGCAGGACTCAATTAAAATACAAGGAAATGACAAACTCCAAATTCAGTGTAGTGATTATCTCTGGGGTGGCTGGAGGTGAAGGGGGAGCAGAAAAGAAGCTTCATCTGTATTGATTACATTTTATTTATTAAGCTTAATGGTGGATACACTGATATGTGTGGGTTTTCCTTCTGTCCCTTTTTTTTTTCAGTGACTGGCCAGTACAGGGATCCAAAGCCTTGACCTTGGCGTTGTAACACCACGTTCTGACCAACTGAGCTAACCAGCCAGCCCTTTTGTTGTATTTTTGTTACTCTGTACACATTTTCGTACTTTCAGAATAAAGCATAACACATATTAAAGCAGTAATAAAATACAGAAATTAAAAATAATGCTTTTTTTTTTTAAGATGACCAGTAAAGGGATCTTAACCCTTGATTTGGTGTTGTCAGCACCGCACTCACCCGGTGAGCTAACCAACCATCGCTATATGGGATCTGAACACGGGGCCTTGGTGTTATCAGCACCACACTCTCCCCAGTGAGCCACGGGCCAGCCCATCAATGCACTTTTTTAAATGTAGGTCTTGAGCCTAGAAAAGAGTTTGAATTTAGATATTGATTAAAACTGTTACAGGGCACACTCGGCTGAGGCTCCCCAAAATTGATACCAAACTCACAGGTCCAGCTGCTGGCCCCTAGACAAAAGCAAAACACTCAAAAGTCAAATGTTGTTGGATAGAAAGTCAGCTTTTATTCAGGAATCCCAATGACCTGAGGAGAGATGTTAGGCTAAAGCATCCCTCCAGTACACCTGAAGGAGAACGGCCAGACTAAAGCCATCTCAAAGACTCGGGTTTACTGAGGGGTTTTTAAAGAGGAGGTTGAGGGAACGGAACATGAGAAATGAAAAGCAGGAGGGAGGGGCATGTGAGCAGTGAGGGCTTCATGCAAGGTCTCAGGTGCAGAGTCTGGCCAAGGCTCCATCTGGTTTCTACTCGCATCCTTATCTCAGAGTCTGGATAGTACGTGCCTCCTTGCAAGTCTGCAGCTTCAGACTGGCTGGAAAACAACTTGACATTCATGTAAATAATGTCATCTTGCCCCATAACCAAGGTTCAAAATATCAAATAACCATGGGGAAAGGGGAAACCCAGAGAAATGCATGCCAAGAAAAAAGTGTCTTTTTAAAATTTACCTACAGCCCATGCAGTTTTAGGCCTCAACACGGCTTCAGTCCTGCTCACTCCAACAAAACCTCAAATTCCTCCAGGGATCAGGCAGTGAGGTAAGTGGGTTACCCAGGTGGGACAGCTAGGAGCTAAATGGCTGACCCAGGAGGTTCCACCTCATTGGCTCCTGCCAAACACTGACCTTTGGAAGACAGGCAGAGGACACAGGAAAAGCACGATTCCAGAAGTAGGGGGAGGACAAAGATTATCTCCCATAAAACCAAATAAGAAAAGAGTTTCAGGATAGGACGGGCACTGGGTCAGTGCTACATACAGAAAGATCAGTGATGGGGCTGGCTGGTTAGAGCGCGGTGTTACAACACCAAGGTCAAGGGTTCGATCCCCGTACTGGCCAGGCACCAAAAAAAGCCAAAACCAATGCAGAAAGATCAGAGGCAATGCACTAAGGAAGGAGATTGTTGGCCTTTGATTGTGTCCGTGGGTAGAAGCCAGATGGTGGGGGATTTTTTTATTTTGTTTGTTTTGGTTTGTTTTTGCAGCTGGGCAGTACAGGGTTCCAAACCCTTGAACTTGGTGTTACCAGCACCATTAAGGAATGGTGAGAAAGAAGAGACAGCAAATATGAACCATGCCTTGGAAGCCAGGAGGAAACAGGAAGAACAAAGCTTTGACAGCTCTTTGGAAAGAAAGCACTGTGTCTGACAGATGTACCTGCTTAGGTGCTTGAAGTCACATATACAGGGATGTCCACTGCAGCATCAGGTATATTTTTAAAAGCCTAGAAAAATCTAACTGTCCATCAATAGGGACCTCACAATGGAATACTACATAGCCACGAAAACGAATGAGACAGATGTGTTCTCATATGAAAGATACAGCACTCCGTGAAAAATGCAAGGTGCTGAACAGTGTGTATAACATGCCCTGCTGTGTTTGCAAATAAAATAGGCAGGGTCTGTCTACACAGGTTTAAACAGAAGCTCTATCTGGAAAGATACACAGGAGACCAGTAGTAGTTACTGCCTCTGGCAAGAGACAGGAAGTCTAGAGTAGAAAGAAGACTTACTATTCATTGAAAAGTCTTTGGTACTGTTTGAATAATTATTTTTAATAATAATGACTATTTTTAAATAAATCATTTTTTTAATGGTGGGGAGCTTGGAGGAGGAAAGAAAGTAGAGGGAAAGGCAGGTTTCCCTGGCACACTCACTGGCCTTAAAAGCAGTGGAGGCCAGCAAAGGTGGTTCTTAATTACCCAAAAGTGACTTGGAGAAGGCCAGGGATGACTCCATCCTTAGGGACATCGTGGCAGATCCCTGTTGGCATGTGCAGGGTGGGCTCCCAGGGACCAGGGCCACAGGGCTTCAACCTGCCTCACCTCCTCTCGCCTCAAGCATATTCTCTCACCTGGTAATTTAAAGCTTGTGCAGAGAGTGTGGGCCTTGGAGGGTTCAGTCTGGAGAGCTTGGTGCTGAGAACACCAAGGTCAAAGGTTCCAATCCCCACACTGGCCAGTCACCAAATAATAATAATAATAATAATAATAATAATAATAATAATAATAATAATAATAATAATAATAATAATAATAAATAGATAGATAGATAGATAAATAAATAAATATGACAAGGCAGAAATGAATGTGCAAAGGAGGTTGGAATATATCATACTGGTCAGGACTCTTTCCATAAGAAATGATGTAAAAACATAGGTACAAAAGAAATGTACTGGTTTTGTAGCTAAAAAGCCCAATGGTAGAATGAGATTTAGCAGCTGCAGTTATATTCAACAGTGTCCTGGTTTCTCTCTCACTTGGCTCAGCCATGCCATCCCTGGGTCTTGGCTCCATTCTTAGGTTCTCCCCTCATGATCACAAGAAAGCTGCAGAAGCTCCAGACTTCACACACTCTTCTAAACGCTCTCCATAGTAATCTCATCTGTTCCCACCATTTAAAATGTGTTAACTCCATACCTATGCATCCAACTCCAACCTTGCCCCTGAAATCCAGACCGATATACCAACTGCCTATTTGACATTTTCACTTCAAAGTCTAATCAGTGTCTCAGAATTTACAATGTTAAAGTACATTTGGATTCTCCAGCAGGAGGATAACATATGCTGCCTTTAACAAACCTACTTGATCATAGAATCGCTTAACAGCACATCTCTCAGAACATAACCTCATTGTTAAGCAATACATGATCGTATATGGAGGATTTATGTACATCATATGCAAGTACTACACCAACTTGATATAAGGGACACGGCCACCTGCTGATTTTGGTACCCATGGGGAGTCCTGGAACCAATCTCCCAAAGATACCAAGAGATGACATCCTGTTGGTTCTGTTTCTCTGGAGACCCTGACTAATACAGGCCTGTATTCAAGGATTATCTATGAATATTTAGGAACGTGAGTTGTGTGGAGCACAGTTTGGGAAAAAGTAGGCCAGGTCATCTCCACAATCTCCTTCAGTTTTCAATCACTGATTTTCAAACTTAGCAGAATAACAATAACATAGAACTAGCGTGATTTTTTAAAGCTTCATGAGAGGGGGTGTTGATGTAATAACGTTACCAGAAGAGGGCTGTGTCTGACCTCATGCGACATGGAACAGAGAGGAGAACCAGTCCGGCGTCAGCCTCAAGCTTCGGCTCTCACTCAAACTCTAAACAAGCGAAGTGATCCTGCCCCAAGCTTCCATGAGTAGCTTGTTCTGCAAGGAAAATTCCATCCAACTAAAAGATTATTTTTCCAAAACTACTAAACTATGGGCAAGTTTTCACAGCAGAACATTTTGACCTTTAGCACTTGACTCCAAACCAAAAGTATACAGGTTCTCCTAAGGACCGTAGTAGATTTTGAG